CTTTTCCTCTCCCTCTCATCTAGCTGCCTCCCCACTTCATCACTTATTGAGCTCGGAGGGCACCTCGCTTTGCACACCATTCTCACGTGGCGTTGGCGGGAGTGTGTAGTGGTTTGAAGGCCAAAGGAACATTTCTTCAGGAATTAAAGGGAACAGTGTAGCCAGAGCAGAGGCTTCTGTCAGACCGCCAGAATTAACTTCCAATAACTGTCCTGGCGAGGATGGCACTTACCTGTCGGATTTACTTCAGTGGAGTGCCTGCTTCCCTAGTAGCAGGTGAAGATTTGACGTCCACTTCCTGGGGTGTTGCCAGTAGTTTATGTAAAAATCAGGATGTGAAAAATATGCACACATGTTAATGCTTTGTGTTATTTGTGTATTAGTGGTGGCCCTTCAAACTTGAGACCACAACTCGATGTGTAGTTTTCTGTCTCTTCACTGTTTATCATATGAGGCCGCGCGGCAGCTGCTGGGCCAGCAGTGCACAGCTGCCCTCCCTGACGTGGGTGTGGGATTGCACACTCTCTGAGCTGGCGAGGGAAGCACGGTGTCACCGCAGGTCTCTGTGCGACTTGACCTCCAGATACCTTCAGGTGCATCACCAACACTGAGCGTGACGTAGATCGAAAGAGCCGATGCAGATAACGTCCAGGGAAAATGATTGCATTCAAAAGAATTCAGATCGGGACCAGCAGTTAGTGTAATGGCTATGTCGCTGGACTCCCATGTAGTCGACCACGGTTCGTGTCCTGGACCCGGTAGGCTAAACTCATGCCAGGTGTGTGTGCGTGCGTGCCCGATTTCTTACTTTCTCTCTCTCTGTCTCTGTCTGTCTGTCTGGCGAGTACACACGCCCTATAGCAAAAACCTCTCCAAAAAAAAAAAGAAAAAAAGAATTCAGATCAAGACTTAAATCATTTCATTAGCTTTCAATGGAAGGTTTAAATTAGCTTTCAAAGCTATTCTCTATTTTTTAAGTGAACACATTTTTTTCCCCTCAGTTTATTGAATTTGCTTTTGTAGGAACTTAATCTCTACCGTAACGTGTTAGTTTACACATGAAGTATAGCCATAAGTTGCTCTGGAGAGACCACTTAGAATCGAATATTAGCCATTTGAAAGTATGTAAATGAACTGATTGTGACGTGTGTTCTTGACATTTTGGATACGTAGTTTAGTTTAGGCCTTGGGTTCATGCTCTGTCACTGTTTAAACTTACACTTTCAAATCTTAAGTAAACTTTTTTCCTAAGGTTTAATTTGTAATAGGAGAAGGCATTTTTATATTCATTGACTGAGAGGAGCCTGAGGGATAGCAGCAGCTTCTGGTAAATTCCAGGACCTGTTTCATGCGGCCTTTTGTAAACCTGAACGTAGTGAGAAGAGAACAAATCTTACTAGCTTTAGAATGGCCAAGCTAACATGGCAGAGCTCAGTAAAAGTTCAACAGTATCGGTCTTTAATATGCTTTTTTTTCAATGTGATCTAATAGAATAGGAGAAACCATGAGAGAGTAAGTGTATTTTAACAAGGGCAGCACAGCAGAGCAGACTCCCTTAGCTACTTGTGTAGTTAATGATTACTTAGTCTCTTGTTGATTCCTTCTAATTTTGCCGATTCCTCTTCTCCCCTTTATCTAACTCGGGGGTATTTTCTGTCTCTACGTTATACTGCAGTATCTTCATGAAAAGAAGGAAAGTGGAGCCTATTCATGTCGGCTTTATACCTGTTTCTGTCCTTGAGTGCTTCTATAGTTACACATCTTCTCGAAGGTGCCTCATTTTGTAAAACTAAAATTAGTAATAAATTATCATCACCATTTATTGGAAGGTACTCTTACACATTTTTTTAGTTCTCATCTTAGTTTCGTAGAGACCAAATAACTGACTGACGTACTCCACCTTGTGGTGAGCAGTTGTTTCAGCGCAAATGCTTTTACTTGCAGTTAGAGCTCAATGCTGCTTTATCAGCGGGAGCAGAGCGAGTCCAAAACAGAACGTGTGTGTAGGGCATTTCTCCATCCTCTAAGGGATTTCCCGGGGGCCCTTTACGTAGTGAGGATGGGCCTCCAGCACTGACTGGCGAGTCTCAGATCACAGGGCAGTGAAGAGGCGGAACCAGGACCAGAAAGCAAGACGGCTGGCCTCACCCCACCGTCCAGAGCCCGCGGCTGGAGTGGTGGAGCTGGAGTCACTTTCTCCGCAGGCCCCTCTAGTTCCCTACCAGGAAGTGCTTGTTGCTTGGGCTGTGTTCTGTCAATGAGCTGAGCCTCGGGCCAATGCTAAAGGCACATGCCTGGGCTTGCCTTAGGCAGGCCGGTCCCCGTCACCCCCTGGCTGTGAGGGTGCTGGACACCACACAGGGCGACACAGGTAGGCAGAGAAATACAGTATCGCACAGACACGGACACCTAAGAGCTGACGGTAGCGCTTTGAGTGCTGACTGGTGGGTGGTAAATGAGTGAGACCGGGTCCAGTGACTGCAGAGGAAAAACGGTCGGTAGTGTTTATTATTGGGGAATTTTACTAGATCTCTTTATTTCTCTCAGCGAGTGGGACTTTTTTGCCAGCCTTAAAAATCATGTCTAATATAGGATACCTAGGTATTTCTTATAAGTGTTTGCTTTTATAAACTTTGACTTCTGTGTATCTATAGTCTCTTTGCTATTTAGCTGCTCAAGAGTAGTGACCAACTGTTAGCATTTTAAACCGGTGTTATAAAACTTGGGCCCTTACTCTTCACAGAAGAATTTTCACATGGGCGAGTGCAGAGTAACGTTGGCATCTGCTGAGCACAAAATCAGATCTGTGCTCCCGCCAGCCTGTCCTTCAGATAACGTTTAATTTTTCTGAATCAACAGCTTTTACCTTTTTATTAGATATTTGAACACTGATGCCTTCATTATGTTTTATATCTCTTCACTAGTCCGTTGTTTTTGACCGAAAAGTGATACATACCTGTGGTTAAAAAGCGCCGCAGAAGTGTGCAGAGCTGAAAATGCCTCCTCCCCTCCCCAACCTCAGAAGCAGCTCTGCGTGTATGTGTGTTTTGTTTATTCTTTTCCAGTTTCCCGTGTCTTTCTTTTGTCCTGTTTATACAGATGTCAAACGTCAGTTGTAATAATCAGCATTATACAACATTTTTATTAAGCACTTGAGGTGTTCTAGTTGTATATCACCTTCTCAATAAATGAGGTATTGGTGACGTTACTATCTAAATTCTGCCTTTGATTACTGGATTTGAAATTATTTTGATATGGTAGTTACTATTCAGATGATTAAATAGTGATAATGAAAGAAATGCCTCCTTGTTATTTTAAAGTCAAATATTCCGTCCATTTAAAAACGTCATAAAACGGTGTGTGGATTAACTACGAATGCGTGATGCATCTCCTGCGTGGTTTATCGGTAGACTGTGTGAAACAAGCCCTTTGGCTGTTAATGAGCGGTCTGTGTCTTCATTTGTAGCATCTCTGTCAAGGTGGTAATGAAAAACAAGTACCATGAAAAGCGTTAGGAGATTTCCCCATACTGTAAACTGTTTCTGAAAGCTGCCATGCTGTTAGCCAGTAGGCAGAAAGGAAGAGGGGTGGAGCTCAGGGGGTCTGTGTGAGGGTCGCTCAGACAGCCCGGTTCGCAGGTGAGGGTCAGCGTCTCGAAGCGAGGGAGGAGACATTGAAGTGCAGCAGTCAGAACAGTTGATGTAAAAGATATAAAAACATTGCAGGGAAGTCATTCTACCTGAGGGATCAGTGTATGTTTATTTTATCTTCCTATCTTTATATTTTTTTCATGTACCCTTTGAACACACTCCTGCATGAAAAATCATGACTGATCTTTTTGTCATTAAAGTCCTTGGAGGTCAGTAGAGACAACCCTGATGTGCACTGTGTGTTGTGATGGGGAATGTGTGCATGTGCACACCAGGGAGACAGACTCCAGAGGAGCAGCCTGACAGGGTCCCATCACGCTGTGATCCTGCCCTCCAGCTCCCCAGGATCGTGGGTGCCCACATGTGCCCCTGTGTGTTTCAAGGCCGACTCAGAATCCACACCCACAACTGGCAATAATGGCTTCCACTCTAGCAGGGCATTTGCATTACCACTGCCCCCTGAGGGCCAGGCCTGCGCTGTATTTTCAGTGACCTTCAGCAGGGGCACAGCCAGTTAGCATTAGGTAAGTTAAGCTTATAGGGCATGCACATACGCTTTTTTCTAGCAGACCAATCTCAGAACAAAAATGCGAAGTGAAAAACATGGCTCAGCTTCCGAGGTTGGAAAGAAACTCATGACTAAACGTGGTTTGTCCTTCCCCATGGGTGGTGGAGCAGGAGCAGCTTCAGGAGACAGTCTTGGTCTCGGAGAGCTGGTCCCAGGATCTCCCCCAGGGACCGGGAAAGCTCTCCTGTGTTCCCCTTTCCCTGGGAGGTCATGCCCACGCTCATGGGTCATGCGTGAAAAGAAGCAGTAAGTGAGAAGTGGGAAGTACGCAGAGAGTCAAGCCAGCCCAGCAGCCAGTGCCTGGTGGCCACCCCTGGCTGGACACGGGCTCACAGAACGTGGTCTCCGCCTCCCAGGAATCTAGCACTTCCTGACTGGGAGTGGGATGCTTCTGTGTAATATTCATGGTAGTCCGTGGTTTCAGGCATTTTAGAGTACCCAGTTTTTAGCAAATGATGTGAAAACATTGGTAAAGAAGTTGTCAACTCAGCACAAATTTTTTTTTTGTTTTTTTGTTTTGGTAGTGTCCTGCCAGATAAACTACTCCCCTGGGGGACATTTCAACCTTATGTACAATGTATTTTTATAGAAAACTCACATAAAAATATTTTTGTTTTTCTTTCTTACATTAAACCAATGTAAATAGATTTTCATTCAACTTTTAAATCTGTGGCCAGCAGGTATTTGCGTATTGCAGGCTCTCTAAATGCTCCTGTAGAAGTTAAGAGCTCTGTAAGGGCATACTATTAATGCTTTTTGTAAAAATGCTGCTACAATTACAGGTCCTTTTGGAATAAATCATGGGATTGAACTTCATTCAGATGTGGTGGAATATGCCAAGGAAAAACTGGAGAGCTTCATCAAAAATAGTGATAGCTTTGACAAGTAAGTATTCATATCTGTGGTTTTGGCTCAAAAGCACTTAATAGCATGTGTGACGTGTCCGGTCTTGAACACTGTCATTGGTCTCGAATAGCTCTACTGAATGTAGCGAAAATCAGTGCACTATAAATTAAGAGGGAAAATTAGGAAAATGATGCCATAATTTTTATCTTATGTGATTTTATGGAAAATTGTAACAATCTTTAGTAAGTATGCTAATTTCATTTTATTAATAATGCTTCATTCATTAAACATCATACAAGAATCTTCTGGAGATACAAAGATACCTGCTATTACAGTGTTTTTCTGGACAGTAATTTGGTAGTTCCGGTTAGTAATTTGTTAGTTCTGTTCTCTTTGTCCCTCACTCAGAGGTGGTATTTGTCAACCTACAAAGGACTCTCCTTAAAGCCATTTGCTAAGCTATAATATAGCCATAGGAAGTTATTGTAGAACTGTCTTGCTGTATTTCATGGTGACATTTCCCATTTAATTGCACTTGAGGAAATGTGAGGGTCTTTGAACGGCTGGTTCGAATGCACAGTGTACTTGCCTTTAGAGGAAGAAGTGCACAGGCTTCGCCCTTGGGGCTAGCAGCAAGTCTCCTCGTGTGTGACCTGAGGCTGCACTGGCAATACGGAGGAGGCTGCTAGGCTGAAATACACGAACACTACATTACATGAAATTTGGAGGGCTTCCCACCTCTTGGTTTTCACAGAGAAAGCGCAAACTTAGAATATAGTCCCTTTGTGTAACAACGCTCTAGAGCAAGTGGTCAGCGTTCCAGCCTGGTTGGGTGGGAGTGGCCCTCGGCTCCTGTGGCTGGCCACAGGTCAGGGTGAGAATGGGCTTTCCTCTAGAGAGCACTGACGGGGCCGCGCCAGCAGAGGGGCCAGGAACCTGAGAAGAGCTCCAGCCCTTCCCCTCCTCTTCGCTGCCTCTCCGACCCCTCTGCCTTGCATCTTCGTCTCATCCCACTTTGCCTTTGCTGGCTTGTGTCATCCGGCGAGTGGCGGTCGGTTGGAGAACAGGAGACTCGTGCCGCGGTGACGTCGGCAGTGCGTGTAGCAGGGAAGCGAGGCCCCGTCTGCCCAGGTCTGAGTGGGGACAGGTTATCGAGGCCCGCAGGCAGGCAGGTGTGGGGGAGTTGGGAATGCACAGTAGCTCTCCCCCCCCATAATTACGAACTCGATGGATTTGAGGAGCCTCTGCTATTTTTCTGCATCAGTTTGCTGACCACTGTTATTCATCTTATCTATGCTTGTCTTTATGCACAGTTAACATTTAATTCACATTTTGAATCATTTTCCAAGTGCTTACTTGTCTTGGTTCATATTCTAAGAAAAAAACATGTTGATGAAAATAAAACTTTTTAGCTTGTTTGATAAGAAATTGAGATTTGGCTTAAGCACCCTTTTGTGTCTTTATCATTTCTCTGTCTCATGGCTGGTAGCATGGCAAGGGCCTAAGGTGTGGACGTGAATATCTTACGTAGTTAGTGGGCCTGTAGAGTTGTGTCAGATTCATCAAATTACTGTGCGTTTTGGTGTTAAAACTTATAAGGGCTTTTCTAATACATTCTGTTTACTTAGAAAATGTAAGTAGTTGTAAAAGCAGATGTTTGAGGTTTACTGTAAGATATGCTGTGTATTAGCTATTAATAGCTTTCATCTGTGGCACATGAAGACGGTTCAATTTGTTGTCAATAATTGGGCAGAACAGACTTAAGGAAAACCGTGTATTACTGAGAGCAACTCTACACAGGGGTCTCTGGGCTCACGTTTATTGCTGACAGTGAGTACAGTCCTGGGAAACAAGAAAATGTTCATTGTCTAAAGCATTTCTGTGTTGATCTAATAGGAATATTAAGCCACAATGTAGACAAATTTGAAGGCCAAATATGTGTTTTGATTTTTAAAAATTTTCTAAAATTTTTTTTAATTGTAAAATGGTGAAATTTCTGGGACAGCAGTTGGCATAATGGCTATGTCGCTGGACTCCCATGTAGTTGACCACGGTTTGAGTCCCAGACCCGGTGGCTTAAACTCACACTGGGTGTGAGTGCGTGCGTGCCTGAGATCCCAAGAGAAGAATGGAGGAGAAGGGATTGCGACATGGCCATTCCCCCTGGGGGGTGATTTCTCGCTTTCTGTCTTGCTCTGCCTTCTGGCAAACACACACACCCAATAGCAAAAACCCCTCCAAAAAAAAAAAAAGTGAAATTTCCTTGGCTTGTATTTCTTATCTGTTGTCAGCATATTGTGTAGTTATGTTGTTGATAAAAAGTCATAAAATAACAGCGATAGGACTGATCTAAATGTTTTCTATGATCTTAATAGTCTTATTTTAATTGTAGTAATCAGACTTTATGATACCGTTTCCGAAGTGTTACAACTTGTTTTGAAACGGATTTCTACATAAATACTCTGAAGCAGACCATTCTGGAAATACTGGCCCAGTCTCTTGGAGTAGTGTGTGGAGTGCTTCTGGTACGTGTTCCCAGTGAAAGAGTAGCTTGTCGGCCGCGAGGAGAGGCAGCAGGTGGCGCATGGCTGGGAGAGGAGCAGAGGTGACGGGTCGTCGGCGGGCCCCTTTTTGTTCCTGTTATGTGATTTGGTTTTGGTGACAAATTATAAAGACCCCATATTTTCCTTCCTTAGGTTCTGATGATGTCTTTACAGTTTTCCATCACATTTGTGGATCATATTTTTTCTTATTTTAAGTTTTAAAAACAATTGTTTAAACTTGTGGAGTGAGCCAGCCGATGGTGTACTGGTTACGGTGGTTGGATCCCACCCGCACGGCCAACTACATGGTTCGAATCCCAGACTCTGTGGCTTGAAAAACATGCCAGGCTTGTGTGTATACATGCCTCAAATCCCAAGAGGAGAAACGGAGCGGAAGGACTTGCAGTGTGACCGGTTCCCATTCGAAGTTCTTTCTCCTTCTGATGCACACACATCCCCTTAGTAATTTAAAAAAAAAAAAAAAAAAGACTCACTGGCACAGAGATTTGAAAAATTCCATTTCTGAACAGTTTCAATATATTTAATTATATATAGGTAATTGAAATATCTACTTCAATTAACAAAATATAAAATAAAAATTGTTCTTTTTATGGATTCTTTAATACCAGATTATCTTTGATTATAGCCTGGAAAGATAAATAACTAAAGCTCAATACTGTTTCAGTCTTGCTTATTCTTTGTGTTTGTGCCTCTTTTCCTGTTATTTTGTAAATGGCCATAGTATGGGTGAGTTCGCCAGAGATAGGAGTGGAGCGTTGTCACGTCATAATCCCTTTTCCTGCACTTCTCCTCCCCGTCAGGATTTTTGGCATGCCTGCACACACACATGCCCTGCACGCACACAAGCACACACTCCCGGAGTGGACCCGGATGTGAGCTGTGGTTGGCCTGTCGGGTCCAGGTCCCATGCACAGCACTCCGGCATCGTCCCGAGGCTAGCCTGGATCTTTTTAAAATCCCTTCAAAAGTTTTGTCATGTGACTTGTGATTCGAACTTAATTTTAAAAGTTTCCTTTTTTTAAGACGTTTTTGTGTTAGGGTATGTGCGCTCATTGAGGGGAGGGGGAGAGAGACAGAGAGACAGAGACGATGAGAGGTAAAGTGAGAAATAACCACGCCAAACGGAGATGGCTCCACCTCAGTCCCTTCTCCTCTGTTTTCCCGGGATCGTGGGCATGTGTGCATGCACGGGGCCTGGCGTCACTTTGAAGCTCCCAGGTCCAGGACTTTAACTGTGGTCATCCAGCGACGCCATCTGCTGGCCCCTCAGTTTCCTTCCATGCATCCTGTTGGAGAGTATAGTGAGCCCCCACTTGCCCATGAACTAATCAACGTTAGAATATTTAATGTGAGATTTACAACAGTTTTTTAAAATGCAAGTGTGTGCTTTTCTGTGTACGTAAAGCTTGGTTCCTGCACCTTGAAAGGAGTGCTTTTTAGGAAAAAAGGTATCCTTGCTCCAATGTATGTACTTCTAAACTTTGGTCTAATGCTGTATTAGCAAGCACAGTCATCCGGGGGACTGGTCTGAATTTGCTGTACTTGGAGATGGGGGGAATGGGGAGTCTTACATGTAATTCATCCCCTTGGTACCTGTGGTATTCCCAGATTTACTGAAGTTCTCACAACACTCATCTGATTTCAAGAAAAAGGTGGCAGACTTTTCCAGCAAAGGGCCAGGGAGCAAATCATCACACCTCGCTGCACTAAGTGGTCTCTGTGGCCACTGCACTAAGTGGTCTCTGTGGCCGCTGGATTCTGCCTTTGTGTTGCCGCAGCTGCCGTGGTCGCCATGGAAGTGGGTCCAGGATGTCCCGCCAGCACTGAGCTTGGGGAAGTGCTTGTTGCTGTCCGCAGTTTCCCTGTTCTCCTCACAGCGTGTGGCTCTCCAACACACCTGCTGGCCCTGGACTTGCCTAGGTGTTAAAGACCTTTTGTGACAGAAGGAAGAGGTTGGGAAAGGTGAAATTAATGAATCAGTGTGTGTACAGTAAGTGAAAGAACCTCTCCAGCTATATTTACCTGGCAGGGTGAGTCGGTCCAAGGAGCCTGAATACCCTGGAAATACTTGGCACAGGAGTTGGTAATTAGAATGACATACTTTTTAGCTAGTGTGTGTATTTAGTACGTATATATACATGTGGTTGATTCGGCTCCTTGGAATGCCTGCTTCTGGAGACCACTTCCTCTTGGCTCTTCCATGCCCTCCCCTCCAGCCTAACTGTAGCTGTGACCTGGGGAGTTCAGTACCCCGGTGTTGTCAGGCGAGGAGTGCGGTGTAGTTAGAACTCCCGGGGTTCTCGTTCCATATGAATGGAACACAGCTGGTCATATAAATGAGTCATACTAGGAAGGAGCAATGAAAGCAGTCATGACATGACAGATGGGCACCTGGTACGCTCTGTCTGCTCCTTGGTTATCGTGAGGCGCTTTCTCCTCAGTTGTGAGGAAGTACTGCCGTTCACATTTCCCAGA